CTTACACATTTATTATATTGCAATTTAAATATAATATTTTTGTAATATGTTAGTATTCATATATTTGTTGGTTTTCATGTTATTAAATAATATGCAGTATACATATTTTATGTTACGTGCAACACATTTTCATCTTTATGATTGTATTCTAAAGTAGATATTACATGTTTTAGTATTTATATACATTTCACAAGATGAACCACATATTTAGCACAATCTGGTAATTTTTACGTTAAAAAATGTATTATTATACTTGTTATTCATATATTTTTGCATTTGTGTATTTATTTTTATGTTGATATGGATAATTTATGTGGTTTAATTTCCTGAGGTATATATAGATATACTGAAGGAACCTCTCATGGTGAAAACGGAAATATATGGAATGTTTTGGGTTTACACACAATTTGTGATTTTTTTCCCCCTTTTGAAATTATTGATGGTAACCAGTCTTTTAGTTGAAGAGCCGTGTTCTGCAGAGGAGATTTCTGGGGATCAACTTGAGTTTGAGGCCAGCCTGGGCTACACAGTGAGTTCAAGGGCAGCGTGGACTACACAGTGAGACCCTGTCTCAATAAAAGAAAAAGTTGCAAGGCATGGTGGTGCGCACCAGTAATCCCAGCACTCAGGAGGCTGAGGCAGGAGGATCACTGTGAGTTTGAGGCCAGCCTGGGCTACATAGCGAGTTCAAGGCCAGCCTGAACTACATAGTGACACCCTGTCTCAAGAAAAAGATTTCAATCTCTCAATCTCCTTTATTTTGTATACATCCTACCCAAACCAGAGCCACGTCAACAAGAGAAAGATACCACCTTATGCACTACTTCCTTACCTCAGAATATGACAGAGCTCAAGGTTGTGGTCTTTTTCCTTAAAAATAAGCAATGACATATTGATACGACATGCAAAATCTGCTTCTCGAATCGTCAAGAATCCACTAACATTCAAAACGTTCTGGGCAAAGAACCCTGTGCCTATTAAAATATGTTTTTAATTATTTTTTGGGATTGGCCTCTTTGCAGCTATATGCATCCAGTAGGAGGTATTATGCTAATAGATATTACGTAAAAGTATAATATTAGTACAAAATATTCTTATGTATCTGTATCATATTAATATTATTAACACATCTATGTTTTACAACAGACAGTGTAAGTATATGATAATATATATACATATGAATATATTACACTAATTATATATTCACAGAATTCTTACTAGTGTGTGATTCTTTCACTGGAATATCTATTCATATAATATTTAAAAATACATTGCATTGCCATGTATTATGTACGAATACAAAATAAATATATATGTCAAAAATAGCATACTATTACATATGAATACAAAATAACTATATTATTTATGAATACAAAATAAATACATACATGAAAAATAACATAATAAATATTAACTATTATATGGATAATACTATATTAATCACAGAAGTGTATTGTTTTAAAGTATTATTAATAGGAAAACCATGTAAAGTGGCATATATATTAATGTAGATGACATATTTGTTATGTGACAGTATATTTAGGATATATTATGCTTTTATAACAATAATATTTTATTAATATTATGTCCCCTTAAATATATAACATAACACAAATGATTATAATATTATATTTTTCTACATATTATATAAAAATACAATAATACATAATAGATGCAATACTACATAATCTATAAGGCATTATACATTGTTCTTGACAATTTATATAATAGGATTATACAACATGAATTATTGCATATTATAAAGCAAATACACATTATTTCTAATGCAAAATTATACAGTATGTGCCATAATAAATGTCTTACATTTTATATGCTATTATATAATGTATTGGAATGCATTTTATTACATGAAAATGTACTTTTCTAATATGCAATATGTTACATTATGTACATTTACTAGAAACATATCCTATTTATATATTATATTACACATATGTTATAGATACACAGGTAATTATACACAGGTAATTGTAACTGTATAAAATTGTCCATTGTTACATTATATACGTCATTTCTTTACAGAATGTAAGAGGATATTGCATAACAGTTACTAATGATACAGTATGTTTCTAGTAGTGTAAAGTTGTATAGTGCAGTAAATATTACATATTTTTAGTCTAATATACCTTACATTCTATTTTATAATCTATTATATCTTAATATAAAATAATAAGATATACATTTCAAATATGTAATTAATATATCCCTATAACTTTAGTACAATATAAACTATATATTATACTATAAATAAATCATAAAGATATGAGTACTTACTAATGTATACCATAGCATATATACTCTATAGAGTGCGTTATGTGTTAGGATGTTATACAATGATTATTAGCTCTACAATATTGTGTAATGCCTGATACCAACTCAATTAAATTGCTGTGAGTACTGCATACATGAAGATATGTGCATGATGTGTATATTCCATGAGATAAGGTCAAGATATATGGTGAATATTGAAATTAAGAAACTATCACAGCACAGACACATTGACTTCCATGCCCCTCAGAATCCTCCCGGCTTTGCGCACACTCATCCCACCATCTTTCTGCAGCAGCTCTGGGGTCTCTTTCCTGAGGGTCTTTAGCTGTGTGGTCCTGGCCACGCCGATGTCCTGAATGGACTCAACATGTTGACCTTTCCTGGTCTTTTTGACTTTGGGGAGGAGCCGGAAGTCACACCACACCAGATCCTGTGAGCAAGGTGGACGAGGACACGGCGCTGTGTGTTTCCGACCTGCCTTTCCACTGCATGGTGCTCGGCAGCAGCAGTGACCGTGTTTTTTACCACAGCTGGGACAGACCCTCAGGAAGGAGGACTCCAGAGCTGCTGCAGAAAGCGGCCAGGATGATGGGATGAGTGTGCAAACAGAAGCAGGGGGGAGGGTTCTGAGAGGGGCTAATGCCGGTGTGTCTCTGACTGGAATGATTTTCTCATAGCTACACACCATGCCCCCCTCTCCCACACCTCGCTTTCAGTGTCTCACTCAAGCAGTGCCTGACAGTATCCATGGCCACATTACTGCCTGACACCTACCAGCCTGGCCGAGGGGGAGGCCATGCATCACGGCTTGGTGGAGCAGGGGTTGGCACACACCAGCCAGGTAACACTGGGCTCTGCTTGCTTCCTCCCCCAGGTAAGATCCTGCAGGCGCTGGAGCAGGAGTGCCTGACCAATAACACCTTGGTCTACTTCACCTCTGACAACGGTGGGCGCCTGGAGGTGCAGGACGGTGCAGCCCAGCTGGGTGGCTGGAACGGCGTCCACAAGGGTGAGATCCAGGCAGAGGGGGAGCCCCCTGTCCTTGGCAACCCAGCACAGGCCGGGGCTGCTCCTCTGGGGTGCAATGGATCACTGGGTGGATAAACAGATGGATAGATAGGTGATGGGTGGGTGGATGGATG